GACTCCCGCCCAGGCCAACCAAGCCTTCTACCCTCCGGGGACGGTAAATTGGTACCAGATTCGTCTGGGAGGATAAAACACTGACTTGTACATCGGCTGGCCACCGCAAGTCATTGTATAGGCCACATCGCATTCAGTAAGCCACTAGCGTGCCGCATCCCACAGAGGGATTGATCAACGGCGAAGACTTTATCCTTTATGAAAAGTGGGAGCTTTTTCCAATGTGAACCTGCCACGCCGCAGAGGGAACGTAACCACCTTCAAAGTAATAGCGCAATATGTCTCAAACTTCAGATTCCTGAGATTTTCCATTTTTAAGGAACCTTTTCAGGTACTTCTCTCAGCGCAGGATTTCCTCAAGAACCTAGCGCTCATTGAGAACAAGGACGAGATCAGTTTGCGGTGGCCTATTCAGGTAAGACGAATATTTCTGTCCACTAGTTTCAGAGGATTTTGTTTTCGCTCTGACCACATTTCCTCACCAAGAGAATAATGACGAGAACGAGCACGTGCGGAGCACAGTACGTTCCTCACCCCCCCCCCCCTCTCTAGCTGATCATCCCCAAAATACGACGTGCCACAGGAAAAAAAGCAAGCGAAATTTGCTAAAGAGCTCTATTTCAGGTATTCATAGCAAACATCATTAACAAAACGCTGTACGGCTTCAGTTATGATTACGACAACTTGTGACCGTCTAATGAATGCCGTTGAAGCGTTCACCACGTTGTTTGAAGAATCGAAGTAATCATTTGAAACCTTATATTTCTTTCTTTTTCCTAGTGGTGTACGCCATGGTAGGGGCGGACAAGACATCCGTAATATGCCCCATCATCGCACGCGGCGCATCGTCCGGCGAACGTCTCCATCTACGTGAGATTGTCAATTCGAGCTGTGAAAGTCGTACGAATTCAGGCGGTGACAAAACTTCATGATGGGTGATATGGAATTTCTTGAAATGGAAGCACAAAACACCGAAACGGACTTGGGACAACTCGTGTGTAAGGTCCGGGATCGCTCGCAAAGCCCACCGACGCGGCATATTACGATTGTCTTGTCTCATTCAGACATTATTTCGTTACATTACATATTTGAGGCTGCTGATGTTAGTCTTTTCAGAGGCAGTAAACTGGCAGTGTTTGGTCAGTTGTTTCCAATTATTTACCGCCTTCCACTGCTTGGATATATGTCTAGAGGACGTTTCGAAGAAATTCTCGAGCTGGTAAGAAGAGTTTCACACAGTTGAAACTGACAATTACAGTCTTGTTCGCTGAGGATACTGGGGTGTGTCAAATAGGCTGGGTGTGGCGCGGCGCCAGCGCGTTTTCCACAAACTGTGAGCGCTCTCCATCTTCCTTGATTGAGCGAGATGACGCAGCGCCAGACTCAGCCCCTCTGACATGCTCTAGCATACGCAGCGAACAAGACTGTACGTGCGCCAACGAACTGCGAGGCCATCGGATTTTGTAAGGAAAAAAAGCGGAATTGGTGCACTACAGCGAGTTGCGGGCAGCAGCAGAATAGGGTAGGGCTTTGCCCAGTGTTGAACCCAAGGGCTATGCCAAGGCAGATAACTCAAAGAAGTCGATTGAGGGACCTGAGGGTTAGAAGGTCTGAGACGCATTCCTCCCAGAGCGGATTTTACAGCTGGAGGCTCTGTGATGATCACTATTCATAAGAAATGATTTTGAAATGGACCTTACCAAAAAAATGCAGAGTTATGGGCGGATGTTCTGATCACACGTGGGGCTTGATCCCCGCTTGGGGTCAAGACATTAGCCAGTGAGAGCTGTAAGGCTATGGCGCAAAAGCCTCATAGCTGAGAGAGTCAAAATGAGTTCTTCGAGCATTCAGTCTTCAGCCACAGCCATCTACACCCCTTATCCCTGACACGGACTAGGCGTGGCATTTCAACATGGCATAGAGTGCGTCACTCTTGCAATATTTCAACTTTAAACGACAGTCATCTTGTACAGTGTTGGACAGAGATATGACCGCTCTTGTGTTAAAATGAAAATATCTCACCAGAGCACAACCACCGCCCGTTTAGTTGAGGCACGCAGCCACGCCCACCACATCTCGGGGATTTCGAGCGTATTGCCTCTCGCTACTTTGATTTGTTTCAGCCTCGCCAAACTATCAGAGAAGACATAGAGCGTGCTCTCAAGTCCTACTCGGTGGACCAAGAGCCTGAATGCTTAGTGCAGGCTTATTATCAGAAAATGCAAACTAATCCTCATCTGAAGTGAGTTCTCGGATATCGTATTGCTTTTACATGAGTTATCAAGCGATGATGAAAATCAGGTTCACAAAGCCCAGGGCTAGAGTCAAACACATTTTTTCTTGCTGAAATTTAGTCTATGTCGCTGTCAGGGCAGGTCCTGCCGGGGAAATTTTCGGAGAATACGACTCCCCTAGTTCCCTCTCTCATACGAACCTCCTCCCCCTTCCGCATTCCACCCCGCTTCCCTAGATTTTCCCAACTTCCTGCCACTTTTTCCAGTTTTTCAGGGATTTCCCGAAAATTTTTCAGTTTTTCAGCAGAATTTTGCTGCCAAGCGGTTCGAGCGGCGGGTGGGGGTATATAGCACCTATGAAAGAGAAAAGCCGCGGAAAGTCAACCACCGAAAAAATTTCTAACACGGCAAATTTTTCTCAGCAGCAAACACGACCCCCCTCTCTTCTAACCGAGCAAATACGATCCACTCCCCTCCCCCAGCTACCAAATACGATCCCCGCAGGGGATTTCCCAATGTACGACGTGATCTGGTCGTTATCACTGAACTCTGTGAGGGAGGGAGTGTCCGCAGCGCGTGGGTGTTGGCGCAACGCGAGCCCCGTTTTTATCACTCATTGAACGCCATAAGGCGCAACGTTCAATGGAAAAGAGGCCGGGACTGAGCAAAGGCTCACGCGCCTCTGACGTGCGCTATAGTGACTGCATGGAGGTTATCCACTCAAGTCTTAGGTTTGAGCTCTTTCATTGGTTCAGCTCTTTCATTAATTTTTTAGCCACGAAAATCTGTTGAATGTTTGCATGGACTTCTTTCTGGCTGGCATGGAAACAACTACAACAACTCTCAGATGGAGTTCTTTATTGCTGGCAGCTCACCCCGAAGTACAGGTGCATAAACATTTGCCTAAAGAACTGAATTCAAGAGGTCTAAAAAGGCTATACTTATTTCCAATCTCGAGAAATGTCGCAAAAATCCCTTGAACCTC